TTAGATGAGCCACCTGCGATGTTGTGTCACTCTCCGGAACCAAAAGTCATAAAAAAAAAAAAAAAGACAAAAAGTGTGAAACAAAAGTGTGCCCGCCAACTAAAAAAAAAAGTATGGGTGATACACTAGAATAACTGGTGTTTTTCAGTCTCCATGTTGAACTGGCCCTTACTCAACCCTGAGCCTACAGGGACAGCAAGCGTGTTCCAGTAATACTAGTGGGTAAGGATGTGCTATGTGGCCACATAAAACTAGAACTTTAACCTTCCACCACACTATAGTACTGCTGAGTGGCACCAATATGGCAAGAAATCACAACATGTCGTTCCCAACAGTGGTTCAGTTAATTTCTACGTGGCAGGTAAGACAGAATCACCAAACCATATCCCACCTGAGACATATTTTGCAGTGCTAAGAAGGTGTTTAACCTCTTTCTCAGCTTTCTCACCCAAAAGCCAGGGATATTACTAATACATACCTCACAGAATGAGGATTAAATGAAACACACATGATGCAGATGACCTATCTATAATTCAATACAGGGCAGTGAACTCTTCAGATTTTTCCACTCAGAGCTTGATTTTAGGAACTTTCAGAGAATTCGTGACTTTCTGTATTGGCAAATCTTCAATGTACCTTCTTCTGCCACCATATAAATGCATTTGATCTTTACCTTTATTATGTCATTCTGTTCTAACTTGGGGTGAAATAATTTTGGCCAGGGTTCTTTTCACAACCCTGTAGTAACGATACCATCCACTGTCGCCCACCTGTCTGGAACTGGGTAGACTACTCAGTTGCAAACACCCCTGAAGCCCCAAAGGGAAGAGGATCATGTTACCAGCTCCTGAGAATGCCTGTACGATGAAGGAAGCTGAGGCCGGGACAGAGACAATCGAGAAGGGCTGAAACCTACAGGGTCCTGGTCTACCACTTTTCTACCAATCCGGGTCCTAAGGTAACTTCTTAACTCATGCTTTGTGTACAGAACAAACACCGGCAAGTCCCTGGAAGAAAAAAATCTTTATTCAAATTGTTATTTTACAGAATAACAGCAGATGTTCCAGGCATCCGCTGAACAGGGGAAAGCCAGCGTTCCCAAGTTGCAGGTCCCACGCCTGACAGCTACTCCACAAGCACGAAAGATCGCAGAGGTCCTAGTGGACCTGCACAGCAGCCCGCGCCATGGATGGAGCTGCTTTTGGGGCACAGCAGCATCAACTTGATACAGACCCAAGACACTGAGGGCAAGACTGCCACAGCTGCGGCTCAATGTGCCCATGGAGATACCCATCTCCATAGCTTCCCCACCAGCACACTGTAGGCTTCAGGGCTTGTTTGAGGATAGCAGCTTCATGTTCAGGGTTCCCCGGAGGTCTCTCCTGAGCTGCACAGGAGGAGGAAGGCACTGACTGAGCCTGAGGCCTGTCACTACATTCAGCAGATTGTCTGTTGCTGCCAGGACCTACACCAAAACTGGGTTATTTAGTGGATTCGCAGGCTGGGCAAATGTTCTAAATGAGGACCTGGAGGTCAAACAGGATTTGGAACAAGCAATCCGTGGTCAATACCATAGGGAGCAGAGGAAGACCCCGTACGGATTTCTAATCACCTGGCTCCCAAGGTGCCGAGGCACAAAGGACGTGTTTGAGGCAGATGTGTGGTCCATCACATACATGCAGTGGGCACCGTTTGAGACCTCTTGCCTAAAAGAACCCGCCTTCTCCATCAAGAATCCAACATTCCCTGGCTCATCTACCCTGGGTACCTGGCCCCACACCTGCAGCCTACCTTAAAAGTGCTCAGAACACTCAACTGTATTAGCCAACAGCTGGACAAAATTACCTAACAGCCTATTTTACATAGTTGGCTCTCTGTGTCAGTGGTTTCCATATCCGCCAGCTCGACTAACCCTTGTCAAGGAAATACTGAGAAAAAAACAAAGAGAGTCCTCAGAACTGTCTCTATTTGCTCTCTTCTTTTTTGGACAGGGTCTTGTATATTTCAGGGTGCCCTTGAATTCACTAAGTAGCCTAAGCTGGCCTCAAACGTGGTAATTCTCCTGCCTCAGCCACCTGAGTACTGGAATTACAGGTGTATTTTGTTGAATACACTATAGTTTTTATCCCACCACTCAACTGCAACAGCTCGTGGCAAATCATCTACCACCTCCACCCTACCAAAGTCAAGGAACAAACCCATCTTCATCCTACTCAATCATCAGGAGATGAGATCAAGATGTCACTCCAGCGCTTCGGAAGTTCACCCGGCACTGCTATGCACAATTTTGTTATAAAAGCATCAGCATCCCTCTCCCCGCTGCCCCACCACCAATACTGGAGACTGAACCTACAGTGTTAAGCATGCTACGCAAGTACTCTACCACTGAGCTACATCCCTGGCCTTTTAATGTATGTATGCGTTTGTTTTGAGACAGGGTCTCACTAAGTTGCTCAATGTGTAGAGCAGCTATACATCCATCCGGCTGGGCTCAAACTTTTGCTCTCCCGCCTCGGCATTCCAAGTAGCTGAGATTACCAGCCACCACACCAGATCAGCATCAGCTTTTAATGAATTACAACCACAGTGTTCACAGGGTAACTTTTAGTCATCATTTGTACAAGGAAAATAAAAGACCCTCTCTCCAAACAACCAGCTTGCAAACATTTGCAGCAAAACCTCTTTCAGAGGAAAGAAGCAACTGCTTTTATTGTTACGTTTTCAACTCGCAGATTACATTTCAAATATTCAGATTTCCCGCCTTTTTTTTCTTTTTCTTTTTGGTGCCAGGAATCAAACTCAGCACCTTGTGCTTGCTACGCAGGCGCTATACCGCTGAGCTATATCCCCGGCCCCACTACCACGTTTTTTAAATAAGCAACCCTATCCATCATGGTGTAATTAACTCATGGAGCTTTGGGGACAAAAATATTTTATAAAAGCTAGAAAACCTAAGGAAATTCCTGGTCTTGGTCTTTCACTGAAGCTTCAGACAGCCATGCACCACAGCCACACCAATGAGCATGTTCAGTGGGTCCCGCCAAGGGAGATTTAAACCCTCACTGACAATGTGTTTACTTGTTCGCATTACAGAGCAACACACCACCTTCCTGGCAACTGACGATGTGTTTACATAAAGCTGCTGCTGTTTATTACACATCCATCCAAGTTTACATCAGTGTGGCAGGAAATCAGGAGGATTCTGAGTTACCTCCCTGCAAACCTGTGCTGTTACACAGTCTCTCCGAGCGGGCAGTTTTCCGTAGCTCACATTCGGAAGACAGGATTGAGGAGTGAAAGAGCTTTGGAATTTAACACTGATCTTCTGAGTCCAAGTCACAGTCAGAAATGCTGCAGGCAGTGTCATCACGGGCGAAGCTGTGTGCTTAACACAAAAGCGGGATCAGGCTTGCTTACAGCGGAGTATCCTTCATAAGAAAACAGTCAGTCCTGACTTCCAACCTACTTCCTTCTCCATCATGTCACAATATTAAGTTCTTACTTTTAAATTTATACACACTGCCACATTCTTATAGTGACTTGAAGTTTTCAAAGTGCTAGGCATGTGGCCCTCAAAAATGAGTGAGTTTATAGGATCTGAATTAAAGATATTTCACAGCAGGTTTCAGTGCTAATCCGTATTGTGGGGGTTGTGCATAATTACCTACACATCCATAAAAGTGTTCACTATAATGTGTAAGCTCCTTACACAGCCAAAAATGAGCTTCTAACTTATGATTTCAACAGATAGATCATACACATAATTTGTCAATATTTTAACCACTCTTCATAAATACATCAAGAATGCTACTGGAATGCGGTATTATATAGAAAACTATGAAAACCAGATTAACAAGTTCTACAGGGCTCAATTTCAGTTAAAAAATGGATACTTGGCTGAGAAATCACTACTTATTCACAACATTATCTTACAAATCAAAGGAGGACTGAGGGCTACCCATTACATATCCAAATCGAGGATGGCGTTCCACAGAGTTGAAAAAACAAAAACAGCTTGAGGAAGCAGTGCTAGACACAGCAAACCTACATCACAGAAGCAGGCAGGCTTGCTCAGTGTGAGGACGAATAATCTAGACTGTTAATACCCCATAACGTTCCATGTCGCCTTGACAAGTCTCTTTTAAAGTAATTTAAGCACACGCAAAATTCCTCAGACGCACACAGCACACAGCACACAGTACACAGCACGCATGGTTCTCTAGGGAAGGCTCAGCAAAGAGCAGCATCTCCACACGCACACCGAAACGGGGAGGTGCGCAGCAGGACACAGACTTCTACCACGCCACCACCGCACTCTCAGTTACAAAGGCGTACTTTCTAGTAGTTTTCCTGATCAACACTTAAAAACCAAGGCTAGGAGTCACCTATAAAGGGAAATAGGTAATTTCTCTCACAAAACAACATCTGAAATTGTAAGAGCTGACAAATCAAACCCTAAGTGCTAGATCACTGTGGCTCCTAGAACAACAAAAATTATACAAATGTTGAACAGCTTAGGTAAAAAGCACTGACATTTAGGTTTCTCCCATCAGTTCTTTATGCTTCAGTCACTTCCTGACTGTGTGCCGCCCAGGGGGCCCTAGAGGTCACAGCACTCTCGAAGTCTGCCTTACAGATGATGAATCGACAGGATGCTAGACAGTCAGTCACAAAAGAAAACACACACGATAAATTAAGTGTCCTTCTCCAAATATCAGAACGCTGCAGGTTACCCCGAGTTGGCAAAACTTCACCGATCATCCTGATTCACGCCGTGCCGGATAAGGCCTCCTTTCGTAATGAGCGGTTGAGAATATTTGCTCCCCACACCCACAGCCATTCAGGCATATACTGTGCGAAAAGAAACTGGAAAGAGAAAATGGTGAGAAGGTTAGCATCCAAAACCGCCCCACGGAAGGATCAGGTGCACAGACGAGCACATGATTTAATCCAAAAAGTATCTACCAACCACAGTAAATACAACAAAGGAAACCGCCCTTGGGTACTTCTGTATTGAGCATCTGTTTTTGCATAAAACACCACCCTAGATTCCACAAGGAACACACACATGATCGCTACCAGCAATACCCACCCCTCTTTGTGTAGTGAGGCCTGACAAACTTTGAAGAAGATAAAATAGTAAGTAAATAAAAACAAAAAATAAAAAAGACAACTTCATCTTTACTTAATGTGATATAAGTGGTACAATCACCAGTTAAGAGCTGTAAATTCATTAAAGCAATAAAGTCAGCTGGAGTAAACAGATGAACACATGGTTAGTATCCCAGGAGAAAACTGAGTTTTGAGGGACGGGCTGGAGCAAATTAAATGAGAGAACTGAGAAACGCCAGGCCCTTGGAACTGCGTCTGGGGACAGGACGAGGGGCTCAGGGGACCAGGAGGGAGTCCTGCTGCTGCTGCTCTGCTCCAAGGGTCTCAATCTGGACATGGATGGCATTGCCTGGAAACATGTTCGGGTGTCACACTGGGCAGGGTGCCACTGGCCTCCTGCGGGTGGAGGCAGGGATACCGCTCAACATCCTGAAACGCACAGGACAGTTCCTGGCCAAGGAGTGATCCACTGTGAGTGCCAATGGTGTTGTGACGCACAAACCCGTGCTCCTCTGACAGACCTGACACTGAACGAAAGTTCTAACACCTGTCTACATCCTTGCCTTGAACACAACTATGTACGACACGGGGTCGGGGGTCACTCTACCCTCTTCTCAATATGTGGTCCAACTTCCTCTGCACCTCCAGGGGCCACCAGCAAATAAGGATGGGCCCGCCTATCACTAACTGCCCAACAACCCCCAGGGCCACACAAAGTGAGGGCCAGCCCTGGATCATGAACTGCCCAATGGTGCTTGTAAAGCTGCGGTTGTTTGTAGCAGGCTCTGCAGAGGCTCTAGCTCAGTCACCTGCGAGACATGAGTCTTCTATCTGGCCTGCGGCCACAGGGAACATTCTGGGGTAATTGAAATATCCTGGGATTTTCTTACAGGATTTAGTGAGGAAAGGCCTGGTCACTCCTCCTTGGAGCCTGTGCCCTAAGACAAAGCATTCTAAACCCAGGGAGATAAAAGGAGTCCTTAGTGGTCCCTTAGGAGGACAAAAACATGTGGCCAGGTGACACAGACTACATTAACAGCACCCCTTCCAAGTGCAATAGTCTGTGTGTGTTTCCAGTGATTATTTAGTGGAGAAGTGGTCACTGTTGAAAAATCTGTTTTTTCATTCCATTCTTGACCACAATCTACTTGATTTTTTTTTTTTTTTTTTTTTTTGTCTTGTTGAGACAGGGTTTCACTATGCAGTTCAGGCTGGACTCGAGCTCACTTTGTAGCCCAGGCTGGTCTCGAACTCGAAAGGATCCTCCTGCCTCAGCCTCCCGAGTGCTGGGATTACAGGCGTGCGCCACCACGCCCGGCGACCGCAATCTACTTGAGCAACAGCATCAAGGTGCATCCCCCAGTTCCAGGGGGGAGTGCAGTGGGGACTCGATGGTGCACCGTCTCTGGCTGGCGCAGGGAGGGGCTGGCACCCTGGGCAGCAGGGTGGAAGAGCCACGGGAAGAAGAGAGACCTTGCCTCCCTGGATAAACTACAGCAGCCAACTCGCTGATCCTTTAGCTAACAAAGGTTACCAAAAAGGAACACCAAGCTGGATGTACTCTTCGGCAGAGAGCACCAAAGTGGAGGGAAGAGGGGACGTGCAGGGGGCTTGTGGGTGGGCTGCAGGGGAAGGTTTGCTCCACATCAGGGTCCTGACCAGTTCCCCCAGGCTTAAGAGAGCACCACTCCTCTGCAACAACGCCCCATGTTGTCTCCTGAGGCGGGCCAGTCCTTGGAGTGATGCCCTTCAGGAACCTGAGGACCCTGAGGGGAAGAGGAAGTCAGTGCTCAGTGTGCATGTTCAGCTTTGTGAAAATCTACATTAGCAATTAAGACACAGATCTCATTCCTTCCCCAGAGGCTGAGATGGGTCAGGCTTAAAGATTTAAGGACTAAATGGTAATGGAAAGGATGGAAAAGAGCCTGAACAGTGTAAACGACAAGCCGGGTGTGGTGATGCACATGAATAATCGCAGCACTTGGGAGGCTGAGGCAGGAGGAACACTGTGAGTTTAAGGCCAGCCTGGGAAACATAGTGAGTTCAAGGTCAGCATGAACTACACAGCAAGACCCTGTCTCAAAAAACATACATACATACATACATACATACATAAATAAATAAACAGAACCTAGGGCCCCCAACCTGGAGTTACCTCAGAGGCTGAAGGAGAGCTTCCTCAAGAGATGTGCATTAGCACTGGCCTTCTAGCTCCAGTAGTGCTGCAATCCCCACCTGGCTTCCCTGCACCCTCACCCGACACCCAGCCCCCTGCTGCACCTCCTGCCTGCACCTTTCCCAGCAATGCTGGAGAGCCTGAGGCTCTCACCAAAGGCTCTTCTGCCTACATGCTCTGGCAGATGATGCCACCCACCCCCACAGCTGTCACACTGCCAAACTCTCCTCACCTGCACACCTCTGTCTCCCACACACACCTGTCACCTGCGCTCCCATATGCAGCTGCCACCTCCTCTTGTTTTCAGTCTTCCCCAGGACTTTCAAAGCCAGCTTGGACTAGTTCTCCCCGTACCTCACTGCCTCCTCCAGTGAGACCTGTCTGAGCCATAGCACCCCGACTCGGAAGCACAAACCTTCCCTTCAACCCTCCATAGTCTGTCTAAGGCAGTATCTCAGTCTCCCCAGCTGGGAAAGGGAATGTGTATGCCATCTGAATTGCTAACGCAGATTTCCAACAAGCTGCTATTGACTCCCTCCTCTAGTCAACTAATACTAAATTCAGCATAGCATTATTTCATTCACACTGTAGAAAGCAAACTGGAAAAAATAGCACCAAATAAAACGTCATACCATTTGTCTGACATATCAGATTTCTTTCTTGTACACTAAAGACTGACAGATTATTGAAATCTTGATAAAGTTTAGATCTTTGTGCCCTGGGTCAATTGTGTTCACAAGAAACAGTAACTATAAAATGTAAGTCGTAGTAGCAAAAGCTAACAGCGAAATATGGCTCCAATGAAACAGTGATTGACTTATCTAATCTTTGTTGTAAAACTGAAAACAAAATAGTGTTTGAGTAACAATTTGAGTAAAGTACAAAGGAAATTTAAAAAACAGAAAGTTTTGCCCAACCCGGTGGCACATTCCTGTAATCCCAGCACTCTGGAGGCTGAAGCAGGAGGATCACTGTTGAGTTAGAGGCCAGCCTGGACTACATAGTACGTTCAAGGCCAGCCTGAAATGCATATTGAGACCATGTCTCAAAAACCAACCAAAAAAACAAAAACAGGTAAAGTTTAACAGCTCCATATAGAAAGTTACTCTCAGTATTCATTACATTAGCTACACAGAATTTCTTGACAGAAAAGCGTGTCCTTAAGAAATGAGAACAAAGTCTAACCATGATTAAAATGCTGATGTTTCATAAACATAGTGAAAATATCTACAGTATCTATACCTCTCCTCATTCTATTTTCATTTCTAAGACATCTTCAAGGTCTGTGGCTTCTAAAACAACTACTTAGGTTTTCTGTTTTTCTTAAGCAATTAAGTACCAGAAAACAATCACCTTAAATAAACTGCTTATTAGAGAAAACCTGTAGGCAAATCTTTTGATAAAGTAAAAATTAACTGTTGATTTACTTACATGTTTATTTTATAGTGGTAAATTTAATAATCTTTATGTCAACAGTCTCAAAAATGTTTAGCAATTTTAAAAACTACATGTATTAAAGAAAAAATTCTAAATGAGGGCACATCTATTTTCTAGATAATAAAAAAGTATTATTACAAATAAAATATAAATCATTATGAGTTCTCTCCTTAATACTCAGAATTACAATTTTAAATACTTAAACAAAATTAAATATTCCTAAAAGAACCCAAATCTTTGTCAGATCTGAAAAAAAAGTTTAAAAACGCCTATGCTTCTCGAACAAATGGTTCCAAGTATATTCTGTCATGCTGTTTGATCTATTTTATGGTTGTACGTTTTTGGGGATTAAACTGTTCACTTTAGAGGTATGCCTTCAAACCTTACTAGTATCTTTACTTTGAAGTTGTCATATAAATTTTTAGTATTTTTACATTCCTACTATCCACTTATACTGAAGGTATTTTATCTTTCAGGCGTCATACACATTGAACTTTTGAAAACTTTTAATACAACAAATAGAATATACCAGAATTTAGGATCTTAACTGAAATCAGTAAGAGCAGGAGGTTTAAGAAGCTGCGTTCACAAGTCTCCTCTTTCCATGTCACGCTTCAATCAGACTCCTGTGTGCCACTCAGAAAGCTCCAGAGCAGATTAACCCAATCCCAAAAATTGACAGTGTGCTGCTACCTGAATAGAGTGGGACCAGTACCCCGTGGTTCTTTTGGAAATTCCCAGCGTAGAAACAGCGTGATGTGCATATACTTTGGGCGAAGGCACCAGCCACGAGCATCTGTGCAGAAAGCTTCGAGGAGCAGTCGTATTGGTCGCGACGCAGAATGGGATCAGACTCTGTACGAAGATTCCTTTAGAAGCGTACTCATACTGCAGTGCTCTGCTGAAGTGGTCTAAATAAGCCTGTGAAAGCAGACGGATGAGAAGACTTTTAATTGAGAACGTGAAGGAAAAGTCAGGCATAAAAGACTTGCTTATTATCATTTCAGGAAAAAAATATGCATAAGCAAATTTAAGTCGCTGACAAAGTGCTTAACAAACTGGACCTAATAACTGTAATAAATGCTGTATTGCATGAAGATTCCACTTTCCAGCAAGTAGAGCCTGACCTTAGAAGCAGAAAACGCAGCCAGCTGAGGAGTGGGTTTGCAGCAGGAGCCGGAAGAGATTGTGACGATGGCACCTTTCTTTCTCTCCACCATTCCCGGTAACACTATGTGGACCATCAAACTAGCAGCGGCAATGTTCACGTTTATGATGTCCCAGAGCTTGTCCTCAGAGACCTGAGTGAAATACTGGGGGTAGGGGTAAGAGACGCCTACATTATTTACCAAGATCCCAATGTCTTTGTCTTTCAAAGCTTCTTGAATCAGATCGTAGATCTCCCGGCCTCTGCTGAAGTCTGCAACTATTACATCCGTTTCCACTCTGTAGGTGTCGGCTATGTCTTTAGCAACATTCTGTAACTTCTCTTTGTTCCGGCTAATTAGAATAATATTGAGACCTCGGCTTGCTAACTCTTCAGCATAGGCCTTTCCAATCCCATCGGTCGCACCTACGATGCAAGCCAGGAAACATGAGCATGCTCAGTGCACAGCATTCTTTAAAGTGAACCTGAAATACACACCAGGTTTAACCAGAGAAAAATGACACTACAACACATGAGTGCTAGTAACTCTCAGCCGAAGACAATGCTGAGGCAATAATGTGAATGATGCACGCTAAACCCTCTCCCACATCCCCTAACAGACAAGCTATCGTTTTACATCCACCAAGCTGATGAGAGAGACAGCAGGAATTTCTTTCTGAACTCCCACCTGGCTAGCATGGGTGTCAGGAGGCCATTCTGGGACACAACGATAACATGAAATTCCAAACTGGCGAAGCATTTCTGAAAGTGATAGTTTTTATGGACAATTTTAAAACAGCAAAAACAAAAGGTGAGAGGCTGAGACAGGAGCATCTCAAGTTCAAGCCCAGCCCGAGAATTTAGTGTCTTGGTTAGACTCTGTCTCAAAATAAAAAATAAAGTGCCAGATGCAGTGGTGCACGCCTGCAATCCCAGTGCTTGGGAGGCTGAGGCAGGAGGATCATTGTGAGTTCGAGACCAGCCTGGGCTACAAAGTGAGCTCAAGGCCAACCTGAACTGCATAGTGAGACCCTGTCTCTAAATAAATAAATAAATAAATTAATTAATTAATTTTAAAAATGGCTGGGAATATAGCTCAGTGTCAAGGTCCTGAGTTCAAGCCTCAGTACCACAAAAAAAATGAAAAGAAAAGGAATAGGAAAAGGAAAAGTGAGGTGTGAGGAGGCAGGGGTAGAGCAGGCCTGGGAAGAGGAAAGAGAATAAGAAAGACACAAATCATGAGGCAAGTTCTTCCTACGATGAGACAAGCAAGAACATGTGAAGATAATCATAACAAGAATCACAAGATTTTTTTCATCATCATACTCCCAGGAAAACAGCACATTCAATTCAACAGCTCCTTGATTAAAGCATCCAACTTAAAACGCAACCTAAACAGAAAGAACATTTGAACTTAAACTGCGTTACCACTGACAATGGCCCATCTTCCATACTGCTTGATCAGGTCTGCTCTGCTCCCCAGGCGAGGGATAAAATGCAGTCTGATCAGGCTGTAAAAGTCACAGACGACAGTGATGCTTTTTCTGGCTGTATACCAGGCGCCAACCAAAGCCAGAGCTTCCATGTAGCAATTGCAAGACCTGGCAATTTCCCTGTACAAGAGGTAGAAACTGTCAACGGCAGCCATGGCAACCTGCAGGGACAGGAAAGGAGAGAGATGGTTTCCGCTGAACAGTAATGGCCTGAGTGAAACAGACTTGCAAGGACAGCGGGTCTTGACACTTTTGCCTTTGAACACAAACCTCCCCAAAGCATTTGGCCTGCGGACACAGTCAGTGTGTGATCTCATTATTTAGCACCTGTGGTTTATAAAGTTCTTCCAAGGGGATTAAGCAACATAGCTACCAAGAGTTACTAGATTCTTCCTAAAACTCTAACACTGTACTATGTGTTTTGGATATACAGACAAACACGGTGTGCTCCTGCCCTGAAAAAGCTCCTACTCTAGAGTAAAAAGGAGCACAGTTTTTAATTCATATGCCAACCAGGAGATATACCTATCGCTCTGCTTAGTTACAGTCAGCAGAGAACCTGCTGCCCAGAGAGAGACAAGGTAGAAGCAGCAGAGGTAGTACTAGGACACGCACCGACCTCAAGCAGTTTATAATCCCCTTGGGACAAAACTAACCTTTCAGAAACTTTAACATAAATTTAAAATGCATATTCCAAAAAGGCAATACCTCCCAAACTTGAAAGAAAAATCATTTCCTACTTAGCAGTATCTTACTAACTTGATTTGTACACCATTTTCTTTGTCTGGCCCCTTAGGCTTGAGTGGAGATAAATCCAACAGAATTCTTGTCAGCATCCACACGGCAAGCACTGCCCAAGACTGACAATGTTCTGTGTTCTTGTGAAAGATGCTAGGATTCAAATAATTTTGTCTCTGTGAAGAGGAAAAGTTTAGTAAGAGGAATGAAAATGGCATTTGATGGTGACAGTTGTATGTCTGTCATCAGAGCCAACCCCAGAGAGGCCAACAAAGGCAGGGCACAGGGTCCTGGAGTGTGACTAACAGGTGAACTTCACCTTAGACTGAACTGGGTGACCGCTGCAGGCCGGTCAACTCTGTGCTATCTCCGAGGGACAAAATACCTAATGGTCAGAATACACTAAAATTAAATCACAGGTAAAATTAAATTATAAGAAGCTCAGACGCACATAAAAACAGATACTGCCTATATTATATATAAGAAAGTTATTTATACTAAAAAAAATATATATAGAACTTCTGGGAATGCACCATCTTCAAGAAATTCCATTAAAATAGAAAAAAGAAGTCCTGTAGGTAAGAAAATACTCAACAATAACAGCAAAACCTGGAATAAACTAAAGAAGAGCGGCTTCCTTCCCTCTTCATTGCAATATAATTTGATCTCTACCAATTTTTGCAAAGTAAAAAATGAACTAATCAAGTGAAAACTAATGACCAAAAAGGCATACATGACACCATAAGATTATGAAAAAACTGAGTAAATGTGAATATGCAGTCCAAATTACAAAGCAACAAAGGGTACAAAAGAAATATGACAGAAAACTGAGAAAAGCTGGGCCTGGTGGTGCATGCCTGTAATCACAGCACTTAGGAGGCTGAGGCAGGAGGATGTTCGCAAGTTCAAGACCAGCCTGGGCTGCAAAGTGAGCTCAAGGACAGCCTGAACTGCATAGCGAGACCCTGTCTCAAAAAGACCCAAAAAAAAAAAAAGAAAGAAAAGAAAACTGAGAAAGTGCAGTAGGACTCCTAAATGCCCCAGAATAAGGACATAACCTCTCCAACAGTAAGCTTCACAGCACTGCCACATTACTAATTATGCTGATGTGACATTAAGTTTAAAAAAACGTTTCTCTCAAATAAAAAATCGGGCCACTTTATTTCTTATAGATAAAAAGGTGTACATTGGCACTCTGTTCAGAGAAATTTAGCCCCTTCAATAAAAACAGTGGACCGGAAGAGAAAACGTCATACACTCTAGGGAACACAAAGCAAGTATTTAAGAACAGTTAAAACGCACGCCCCTTTGGAGTCATTTTTCCTCAGGGACCAGATTAGCTGAGACCTCTTAAGGTTATGGTTTGTATCTAGGAGCCAGAGAGCCTCACACGTTTCTGGAAGGTGACCGGGTTACCGGTGCTCAGGGCTGCCTCTCTGTTAGGAGGTGGGGCCCGGCGTGGGGGGCCACTGGCCCAGAGGGTTTAGCTCCCCCCAGGCCCCACACTTTGGTCTCCCCACTTTTCACCCACCACGCCATGAGCAGCTCGCCCCTGCTCTGGGCCTCTCCCCAGCCTTCCGGCCTTGGAACCAGGTGACCAGGGACTGTAACATGAGCCAAAATAAACCTCTCCTCCTTTAAGTTGTGGGTGTCAAGTACCGTCCCGGCAGTGAGGAGAGTAACTAAGACAAGAAAGTCTGCATGAGAGGTCTTTCTCCTTCTGACCAGTCTTCTGTACAGCACTCAGCAGTACCTCTTGTTCCCAAATCCTTTGTAATACATTCAAAGTTAGGATCACCTGTCTCAAAAATGTCCCTCCTAGCTATGCATGCGACCGCCCCTCCCAGCCCCCGGATTCGGACCAGAGAGAGGGTAACACATTCCCATGGCCCCTTGTTCTGCTGTCCCAGTACACCCCGTCCCGGCCCACACCACTACTGGCTACAGATGACAACGACCAGGTGCTGCGTCAGAGTGTTCACACTGTCACTCAAAAGTCACCGTTACCGTACCCGCCCTCAAAACGACCAAGACATTGATTTCTCATAAGAAAGAACATTAAAAGTTGAGATGCTGGGTCAAGCCATCCTAAACTCAGAGCTCCTGACGTAAGCTTTTTCAACTGTTCATGCACCTTTGTCTTCACTAAACACTACGCCATGCAAAAAGTACACAGAGAAGAAATTCCCTGTACGCACTAAGACTCCTCAAAACAAAATCTAACAAATTAGAAATAAACTTATGACCGAAAACTACCCACGCCCAGTAATACTCGGTTGCGCTAATGACAAGTGGATGTGTATCTAGGATGCTAGAACAATGTTTTCAATGAAAAATAAACACCAGCTTTCAAGACCTGTGGCTGGGGTCCAGGCAGTGTTTGTACTAAAGCTCCAGGGAACAGAGGCTGGGGGCCTTCTGGGTCCTCCTCACACTGAGACCCAGTTAAGGGAGTTTCTGTCCCTCGGACCCAACTTTTCCAACTTGAGCATCTGTAAAGTGAACCCCAGGGGAAAGTGCCTGATCTCAAGGGGCTCCCCTTTTGTCCTGGTCTTCTCTTAGCTTCCTTCTGCCAGCTCTGGGCCTTCAGCAGTGTGCAGCTCAGTCCTCTGAAAGCCAAGCTGTGAACAAAAACCAAGACACTGATTCTTTTCCTTTTTCTCTGCAGCTCAGCTAGAAATACCTTATATGAAACGCAGGTTAAAGTTTGCACAATTAAGAAAACACAAACTCTCAGGCCACTAGTAGAGGGTGAAGCATTGATGAAGCACGAAATGCCCTCATCTCAGAAGCCAGAGGTGTGAGCGCCAGCCTCGGCACTGTCCACATGGCCTTCACAGTCAACGAGAGAGTGCCCTCCCTGTCTTGCCCTTTATTTTCTTAGGAATGTCTCATCACGTGGGACACAAATCAATCCAAATTAGTGTGGAGAAAGATATCAATCTGTAAGGATAGCAAGGTTCCTCAAGGAAACACAGCCTGGGCAGCCAGCCAGCATCCGACGAAGGGCACCTGGTGCCACCTGTCTCTCCCGGTCTGCTTGGTTTTCACCAGGGCCACCTTCTGTCTCTCTCTGCACACAACTTTCCTCGACTCCACCTGAAGCTCCACACTGCAGCAGCCCGCCTCAGCACCTCTGCTCCACACTCCTGGCAGATTCTGGCAGATTCTGGCTGGCCCGCCCCAGCTCAGGTATCCACACGTATCTACCCCCTGGCAAGGCTGGCAGGGGGAAAGGGCGTCGTGATTATGTGGGGCAGCCCCACACTGTGGAAGGAGCACCTGGGTGTACACCAGCCCTCACCCCGCACCACACAGCTGCGTCAGCACCACTCCAGCGGGCTGAGCTCCTCCAGGCCAGAGGCCAGCCCTTTTCCTGCCACGACCCCAGTTTGGGAGACGGAGCTCGAAGTGTTTGCTGACACAGACTGGCCAGTGTGCCCCAGGCTCTGGCTGCAGCTCTCAGGCTGAGCCTTTTCCTGCCTGTTCCCACACGGCAACAACCACCCTCGTCCCCAGCTTGGGACCAGACTATCACAGATCCCGTAGACCTTTTTACAGAAAGAAAAACTGCGTGCAAAATCCACCAGGGAACCTCCTGCTCGGGGCACCCAGAACAGGTGCACCTACCTTGTTGGTGAGGCGCCTGGGGCCCACCTCGGCCAGCTTCCCAGATTACCCACTGGGGAGTCTTTTGTACTTATCACCGCCACAAAATGCTAACATGCAGCTCCACTGGCACAAACCCTAAACGTGTGCCACCACAAGTCACAGGTCAGGACGGCTGATACACCCAAGGCCCACAGCCTTGGAGTACAGAAACCCAAAGCCCCGGAAGGCTGACCAGTCAACACCCACCTGCTTACAAACACAGAACAACATAACAGAAGGCTCGCAGTATGAGTCTGCAGAGGATCTCACATGGACGAAAATCCACACGAGAAACTAAACTACTTGAAGAGCATGGAAGATGACAACTAAGTGTCAGAGACAGAGGGCACCATGATAAGAAACCAGGACGCAAGGCTGCTGGTGCACTGGGAACTTGCAGAAAGACAAACTGAGCAAGCGCAATGCACGGCAGCAGAAGCGCTGCCGGAGGGAAGGGGTCCTGAGGGATGAGGAGGACACAGCACTGCCACAGGCCTGCCTACTCGGTGTGATGAAAGCCGTGTGCGAGGAGTGCGCACAGCAGCTCAGGGCTGGGTGCGGCCAGCTCTGGCATGCTCACCAGCAAAGCGGAAGTGTCTAGACTTACTCCCTGAGCACCAAAGGAGGGCACCAATCCGGGGGGTTCCAAAGGTGACTGGCAGCAGGGAGTGGGGAGGGAGGATCCTGAACTGCCGCAGCTGGGCTGGGAGCTGCCCTAGAGCCCCAGGCTCTGCAGCCCTCTGTCCTCCCAATGCATCCCAGGGGTATGGTCGGAGCCCCATGGACCATTAATATGAAATAACAGGAAGTTATCGACCCACTTCATCCTCCCCATCCTTTCCCTGCCCTTGTGCACAGGATGGAACATAATGTCTAATGAAAGAAAAAATTTGCCATTTCCTCAAAACCATTAAATTCCCAAAGTTTACAGCCTTTCACTGAACGTTTAAAAGGAGTTTATCACACAGCTGAGTGAGATGCCTACCAAGGTCTGTACAGATACCGAGCTGCACTCATTTTTCCGTGAACTGATGAAAGGTATCAGTGTATGCTGAGGTCTCAGCATTCCTGTCCTCCCCTCCCTAAGTTCGCGTGTTGGACCCTAACCCCGGGGGGAAGTGACGAGGTCATGACGGCTCTGCCTCCGGGGAGGCCAACCCCAGAAGGCACCACCTGGGAAGAACAGGCTCTCTCACCAGATACCACATCTGCAGCGCCCTCCTCTTGAATTTCTTGAACAGTGAGAAACAGATGTTGTTTATAGGCCGCCCCATTTATAGTATTGTTACAGTAGCTGCCAGACCGAGCCTACAAATTAGAGAAACTCCACAATGCCGAGGCACAGTAAAGTCCTGATCCTGTATGGCTGACTTGTACAATTATTATTAAGCTTTTTTTCCTAAAGAGTAGCTGGGTGGTGGCGGGAGGCTAGAGGTGAAGGATTTTGGGAGAATTTGGTCAAAGGGTACAGACTTTTGGTTATAAATTCTGAAGAACTGATGTAAAGCAAGGTGACTAGTCACTACTATACTATCCATCCGAAATGTACTAGCAGGGTAGATTAAGTGTCCTAGACACACACAGATAGTAACTAGATACTCTGACTTCATCTTGGAGATCATCTAACAACATATACATATTCAAATCATCATGTGGTGCTGTACACCTTAAATAGATGCAATTTTGTCAGCTACACTGCAATAAAAGTGGAAAAATAAAAAAATAAATTGTAGATTTTTTAAAAAATTTGTTTCCCTCTCTCTCCAGAAAAAAAAAAAAATTGTAAACAAAACAAAATAGAATTTTCCCCCCAAGTAGGAAAAAGAAAAATAATTTGCTGTCTTTAAGGCATTTCTACTTCCACAGGGCAATATTCATCAGGGCTAGAGTCATTAAGAACCCTAAAGGAGCCAAGTGTTGTGGCACAAGCCTACAATCCCAGCATTCTGGGAGGCTGAGGCAGGAAGAACACAGATGAAGCCCAGCTTGGGCTACTCAGCAATGTGGCAAGAGACCTTGTCTCAAAAGAAAAACGGCCTGGAGACATAGCTTAGTGTGAAGGCCTAGTTTCCTTTCCTCATATCAAAGAGAAAAGCACTAAAAAGGAAACACCCACAAAAGTGTCATGCAAAATTATGGTTAAAACTTCAAGGAGCAAAGTCATCTCTGAAGCACCACCGTTGCAGCTGTGACAA